TTTTTTTTTTTTTTTTTTTTTTAGTTTATATTTGATAACAAGAAGAAATTTGATTTACCGTACAAGTGTAACAAAGATAGTGTTACAAAGCTGTAAGAATAGTACATCTGTGAGCTCAAAAAGTTAAAAATAATTTTTGTTAGACTTAGTCGTAGTGTCCAATAATTGAGAAATGTAAGTTTTAAAGCTTTTTACGCTGTGTATAATAATGGGGAAAGTTTCAGAGATGACTTGTGATATTTGTAATAAGTCTTTTCATAAAAGTTGTGTCACTGATTATATTAAATCTAGACCAGTTGATGATTGCTGCAGAGTTAAGTTTACTTATTTAATTAACTCAGTGGAAAATAAAGCTAAGCAAAAAGTAAATCAACCTCAAACCAGAAACCGTCTTCAATCATTGAGATCAGTAACTTCTAACAACTCATCAACATCCAGTTTTAAATCAGCTAAATCTTCTGAGTCACACACTAGTATCGGAAGTCAACGTGGATCAACAACTTCCTCTCCAGTCACGCCTAGCCTACCATTGTCACCCAACAGTGATTCAGTTTTTCTTCCCGAATCGCAATTTTTAATTGCTGCGTCTACATCTTCAAATAAAACCAAACTCTCTAGAGTTCAAACTAATACTAGTTCATTACCAATGATCCCTGATAGCATTGAAACAAATCTTACAGTTGTAAGTTCACCTCTGAGTACAATGCCTTCAAATCAGCTTCCCCCCGATTGGTCTTCACTATCTACAGATGACAAACTTACATTAGTGATGAAGTCAGTTGCGCAAATACCAGTGCTTGCAACTGAATTTATGAAATTGTCTTCAAAAATTGATGATCTTGGTTCTCGATTAAATTTATTACATATAGAGCAATCTAATACCAAAGAGGCTCTAAACTCTATAAACTCTAATGTAAATGTGAACACTACCAACATCATCCAGCTAAGAAATGAGCTTGAAACTATCAAGGAAGATACACTAAAAAATTCTAAAAGCTTAGCTGATCAACATGCCTTAATTTCAAGTGTTGCCACTTCAAATGATTCTTCTGGAGTCCTGCCAAATTCTCAAATTACATCAGAATTGGTCATCTCAGGTATTCCGGATTCAATTGTCCAAGGTTCATCTACAATGGAGATTACTTCTAGTGTATTCAACGCTATCAAAGTACCCGAACTCAAGTCTGATATACTCTCTTCCAGATTAATAGAGAAGAGAACCAAAAACTCTTCAAATAATGTAATAGATAATGCAAAACCTATTTTGCACTCAATCATAGTTAAACTTAAATCTCCTCAAATACGAGATTATATTATTGAAAGTAAGAGAAAGCTTAAAACATTACCAGTTAAATCTGTCTTCCCGGATACGGCAAATGTCTCTAAGCGTTTTTTATATATTAATGAATTTTTAAATCCTGAAATACATAAATTGTTACTTATAACTAAGGCTAAGGCTAAAACTCTACGTTTTAAGTATGTTTGGGTGCAAAATGGTTTGATATTTGTTAAAAAAGATGACAATAATATTAAAATTAAGATCTGTTCTGAAGCTGATCTTAATAAACTTGATTAACGTCAATTAGAATTAACTGATAATCCAAATCCTCAGTCCACGTCTATAAGGCTCTTAAGCTTGAATATTAATAGTTTTAATGGTCATGTTGCCCAATTTCTGGATCTGGTTGTCGATACAAAACCACATATTATTGCTATAACTGAAACATGGCTTAAACCACTACAAGACAACTCTCTACTTAATTTAGAAAACTTTACAGTCTTTAGAAGAGATAGAGGTTTAATACATCCAGAAAATGGTTGCTTTATTAAGGGTGGGGTGTGGCATGTTTGGTCCATAAGTCATTAAAAGCCAAAGTTATTTATGTACCTAATACAAACAATATAAATCAGCCTGAATATTTAATTCTCGAAGTCATATCACTGACTGGAAATCGCTTATTACTATCAGTAATCTATCGTAGGCCTCAAGGCAATCTCTTAGATGAATTTTTTAATGTAATTTCTAAATTAATGATAAATTACAAAAATCTAATAATTACAGGAGACATGAATTTTGATCTGTTAGAATCCTCTATAACACCTAATCATTTACAGTCATTTATCACGGAATTATCATTATTTTGTGTTCCGTTTAGTGCTACTCACCATTCAAACAACAAAGATTCGTGGTTAGATGTTATTATTATTGATAATAAATCCAAAATGGTTAATTTTTGTAAATCTATTCAACCCTTTATAAGCGGACATGATTATCTTGTTTGTGATTATATGTTTGATATCTTGAAACCTTCGACAAAAACTATAAATTATAGAGACTTTTCTAAAACTAATCAAGAAGCTCTGAGTAATGCCCTGATGCAATCTCTTAAAATTGATAGTGAACTTATGGAAAATTCTGATCCTAATTATTTAGCTAGCTTATTTCATGATACTATTATTGCAATTCTTGATGAATTTGCACCTATTCGTTCACGCAAAATTACTCACGTTCCCAATCCCTGGGTCACGAAAGAGCTTAAAACCAAGTGCAAAGAACGTGATACTTTATATAAACGTGCTAAAAGAAATAACAATAAAGACCTTTTAAATCTTTTTAAAATTAAAAGAAAGGAATTAAAAATAGAATTAACAAAGGCCCGTGAAAATTATTTATGCAATGCACTAAGTAATATTCCATTAGGTTCAAATGTATGGAGTAAACTTAAGCATTTAGGGTTAGTTAAAGGTTCAAATTCCTCGCCCTTGAATTTCTTTGACGCGGGAGAATTAAATTATCATTTTGCAAAAATAGTAAGACATCATTCACCATGTAATGAAGCAACTTTTGAAGAAATTAAATCGTCTCATAGTAGTCTGGTAAATTGTTCCTTTGTATGGACAGAGATTGACATTGTAGACGTAACGAAAGCTCTTCATCTCACTCTCAGCAAAACTAAGGGTAAAAGTCCGGATGAATTAAATCTCTATTGGCTAAAAAACAATATTCCTCAGATAACGATCTTTCTTACACAGCTTTTTAATAGATCTCTAAATACTGCTATCTTCCCTCAAGCTTGGAAGGCAATTTACATCTTACCATTAAACAAGACCTCTCCACCGCGTTCTCTTTCTGATACTCGACCCATTGCAAATACTTCACATCTAAGTAAAGTTTTCGAGAGAATAATTGCTAATCAAGTAGTTACATATCTTGAGGACAATAATCTTTTAGATAAATATCAATCAGGGTTTAGAAAACATCACAGTACTCAATCTGCCCTATTAAAATTAACTGATGATATTTCTGGAGCCATAGATCGTAATCAATTAACTTTAATAGTCTTTTTTGATTTGACCAAAGCATTCGATTATGTAAACCACGAAATCATCATAAAAACCTTGATTGAATTAGGATTTTCTCCCAAGACAGTAAAGTGGTTTTTGTCCTACTTATCAGATAGATCTCAAGCTGTACTTGATGAAGATGGTAAGCCAGTTGGGTTCGAAACTACAACTTCTGGAGTTCCACAAGGGTCTGTTCTTGGACCCATATTATTTTTATTAATTATGAACTCTGCGGCTAAACGACTTGCTTATACAAATCATGGTTTATTTGCTGATGACATGTATATTTATTTACATTGTTATAGTCATCAAATTCATGAAGCCACTAGACAACTGAACCTAGATGCTCAAGCAGTAGTAAATTGGGCCAGAGATAATGGGTTAGAGGTTAATATACTTAAAACTAAAGCAATGGTAATAGGATCAAATAACAAGGTAAAAACTCTTATGAGAGAAGGTATTCCAGATCTAGAAATTGATGGTGTACCTCTCCCTTATGTTGAATCAACCAAGTGCCTTGGACTTCATTTTATGTATAATTTATCATGGAACTTACACATCTCAAAAACTATAAGTAAAATAAATTCGGCATTATATAGCCTGAAATTACGTAGAAATATTTACACTTCATCAATTAAAAAACTACTTGTATCGGCAACTATTTTACCATTAATTGATTATTGTTCCATAGTATTATTAAATTCAAATTATGAAAATAATTGTAAACTCCAACGCTCATTAAATTCAGCAATACGCTTCATCTTCAACTTAAAGCGAGATGAACATGTCTCGCCTTATAGACGTGAACTGGGATGGCTCTCGATAAAGAGTCGTCGAATTTATTTTACTTGCTGTTATTTTTACAAATTATTAGAAACTAGTAAACCTAGCTATTTGCGTGAATTATTTCAGGAAGATCTCAGTGTAAGACGCTCTGAGAGACTAGCAGCCAAGAAAAATAATATCCTCTTTAAGTTCCCAAATTTCAGTACCACTCAATATGAGTCTTCTTTTGTAATAACAGTTATACGATTATGGGAAGAATTACCGGAGGATATTATAAATTCTTCAAGCTTGGAGGTTTTCAAAAACAAAATTTTTGATTATTTATTTAATCTAGATGTTTGATTACAAACTACTATTAATGTTTCTATCTTTTGTTTCATTAATCCTCAAGCTTTAGTAAATCTTCATTATATAGTTTCGTTATAATTTAAAGTTTCATACCTGTATTTATAGTAACATAAATGATTATTAAAATTTGTTAGTTAATTCATTATAAATTAAAATTTTTTATACTTATATAGTATTATATGTCACTATCATTTATCTAAAAATATTATTTTATAAAACATTCTAAATATATATAAGTTAAACTGCACAATAATGTAAAAACTGTATGTATATGTACTCTTTGCCATTTGGCAATTGCCTTGGCATAATTTTTAAATAAACTAAAACTTGCAGAGTCAATTATTTTTACGATTTAAAAAAAATATTCTAATCTTCCATTAAATCTTAAAAACTTAACTTGTGTTCTTTATACTAAAACTTATGTCAACCTAGACGATATACTTACGGAACATTCCATTTTCCTTCACCTTTGGGGACAAATTTACCACCCTGAGAACATTTCAGTTCATAATCGTACATTGGAAACTCCGGTGGAAAGTCATTTTTCCTGTTGTTTTTTTTACAATAACTGTCCATGCTTGATGAATTGCCGGTGCCAAACGTATATTTTGTATCACTTTCATATTTTTCCAACAGTTTTTCAAATTCTAATCCCGATGTAAAGACGCGACCAACCCAAAACATTTTATCTGCCATTTTATCTGTAAGAAATAATCCTATTGTTAAAAAAAATTTTATTGGTAGTATGTAGCGTATATAAGTAAAATAAGTTATTATTAAAAAATTAACAAAATTAGGATTTTTGCTTATAAATGTATTAAATATTTATAAACAAAAAAAAGTTTTGTACAAATGTATATAAGTTTGTAGCATCGGACTTACCTTTGTTTAATATTTAACTGCGTAATAGTATAATAATTAAATTCTTCTTACTGCCCCCGTGTTAAACTGTGAATACTTCTAATAAAGATAATAAACATCAGAGATGTGGCAAAAATGTAAACTATATGTTATCATATATGATTGGCTATACAGTTCGTTCGGTAAAAAAGAGTTTTGTATTTTAAAAGGCATGGACAACTAGTGTACGCATATTCATTTTTTTCTCTTCCGGTTTTACAATCGATTTAAAATTATGCAATTAAGAAATTGAACGCAATTTTTGCCAATTTTTACAAGAAAAGTGATGATTCCAATCAAAAGCTATTATGACTGGCAGCTTATTTGAAGAATAAGTTGATTGATAAAAAATAAAAGAAGTTTTTTTTATTAATAAAGAGTAACTCAAGAATTATATGAGGATTATCTGCAACGGATATCTGTGATTTGAAGCTTACAGTTACGGATATCCGTGGATTGAAGCTTACAGTTACGGATATCCGTGGATTGACGATTGCAGTAACGTATATCCGTGGATTGAAGCTTACAGTAACGGATATCTGTGATTTGAAGATTACAATAACACATATCCATAATTTGAAACCCTCGTTTTTTCGTTTTTATTTTTAAATTTCTTTGGAATGGCTGGATGGATTAACTCTCAAATCTAATCAGATCTAATTTTTAATGAACCCTTTCAAATGACGTGTCGAAAAATTCAACTGGTTGATTCGTTTTTGAGAAAAACGTGGAGATCCGATGAAAACTTAACTTTCGAAAATCGAATCGAAATTAATAACTTCCCTTCATTGGAAAATTTTCAATTTTCTTAGCGGGAAGTTAAAAACAAAGGAATTAAAAGAAAATGCCTGTCTTTTGTTTTAATTAACTGGAAAAATTTTTATAAAATTAAATCATAAAAAAATGAAAAAGGGTTGATAAAATACAAAAAATAAAAAGTCTATAACCATCCATGGAAAATTCTGCGTCGAATGGTCGCAGTCCCATCCCGATAGATTGAGTAGTTTTGACATGATGAAGCGTCAGATAAAAAATTAACTCCACATCTTGGAGCAGCCCGGTCATCTTTCACATAAATCTTCATTTATCATCTGCTACTCGCGACCCTTCAGATTAGAGATTTATTTATTTATTATTTATTTCTACAGTACTAATATCGCTATTAATATTATCACAATGAATGATTAACGAGAAGTACATGTGTCTATTGCTAGCTTGTCCGTCCGTTCCTTACAGGGTAAATAAGCATTTTCGTTTTCGAATTAAAAAAAAATAAAAAGCGATATTATTTAAGAAACAAACAATCGAACTAAATAATCATTGTTCACTTTAACTTATGAATAATATCATAAGTGTTTATAACTAACAATTATCGTTGCCTTGTCCTTTCTCATTATCACTAATTTGAAAAAAAAAAAATAAAGAGATCCTTGAATCAATAGAATTCAGCTCACGGATGTAATTGCACCTTGTATATGTATATTATAAATATTAATATAAGACTAATATACGCATATTTTAGAATCATTGGATGGTTTTATGCGAGTACGAGACACGAATCAGAAAAAATAATAATTGCTGCAAGATATAAAAGTTGCTGAAAATTAATGAAAAAAAAAAAAAGATAAAATTGCTGTAACAACCCGTAGACGAGTAAATTGTTTACATTTTATGACACTGAAATTAGCAGATATGCAAAAATTTCTTTAGAATATTTTTAATTAACAAATGAACTAATAATAGTTTATATAAAAATAAAATTTTAAAAAATTGCATTGATGGTCTTCTAAAATTTCTACATATGGTTTTTTTCTTTTTTAATTTTCTTTATAATTATTTGTTTAATAAAAAAACTTTTAAAAGTTGTCAAATGCCTGTTTATTTCAATATCGTCATATTTTTTCTTCTTACATTTCAATTTTTTAAAAATATAACTGTATGTTTTTATAACATTCATTAAAATATGAATTCTTGTGTATAGTTACTAACTGACGCTTTAGAGCAACGTTCAGTTCATTAACCGACTGACGGAGTCGGTATAACACTCTCGAAACTGAATTACAAGTCCTACCGACTTGATCAACCCACGATAGTCTCTGATCAATTAAAACCCCGAGGTATTTGAAGCTAACAACATAGTCAATATTTTCATCTCCTAAAACAATACTCGGTATCTGGTCTAGCTTGATCAAGTTAACATTGAATGCACTGCCTAATATCATAGCCTTGGTCTTGGAGGCATTAACCTTCAGTTTATTTAATCGACACCACCCCAAAACGGCAGCAAGGTCTTCATTCATTCTCTCAATTGCATTATCCAGGTCAATGATTTTACATGTTAGATAAAGTACACCATCATCTGCGAAAAAGAGATAACTGCTATGCCGTAGACACGTAGGAAGGTCATTGATGAACAGCGAGAATAACAGCGGGCCAAGAACACTTCCCTGAGGCACTCCTGTAAGGCAATTCCTTCATGTCGACAATTCTGCACTATTTCTAACTGCGTGTCTTCTTTCCGACAAATAATTATATACCCAGCGAATAACTTCGATTGAGAACCCAAGCTTATAGAGTTTACCCAATAAAAGCAAGTGATCAACAGAGTCAAATGTCTTTGCTAAGTCCAAAAACACTGCCAAGGTAACCAGCTGTTCATCGATACCGAACCGAATATCATCAACGAACTTAAGAACAGCAGTTTGAGTACCAATACCAGGTCGAAAACCAATTTGATGTTGATCAAGTACATCGTAATCATTGAGAAATTTAATGATCTGGTCAAGCACAATACGTTCACATATTTTCGACATCGCACATAATATTGAGATCGGACGATAGTCTGAAGCAGATTGCGGGTTACGAACTTTAGGTATAGGTGTTATAAGCGATGATCGCCACTGGGTCGGGAAGAAGCCACTATTTACCGACGAGTTAACAAGATCTGTGATCAACGGACCAAGCAGATCTTTGAAGGTTCTCAGCACATGAATCGAAATTCCATCAACCCCCTCAGCTCGCGAGGAGCCAACCGAGAGGCACTTAACTACATCACAGACTCTAACATGTGAGAACGTAAACAGAGCATACGTCCTCAGCTGAACAAAGCCCGCGACTATTTCATCAAACAGTGGGAGCTCTCTGCCTTCAATTATAGTTGCATAATAGTTATTTAATTCCTCAGAACTAAACCGCAGAACACCCCGCGACTTTGTAGCAGCTACTGTCAACCCGAGTCTGTCCATTTCACTCCAGAACTGTTTCGTAGACCCAACACGGCTAAACACTGACTGAAGATAGTTCGCTTGACTTGTCTTCCACATTGCCTGCGCCTGACGACGCAGTCCAACATAATGTTCCCAAGCTTGCCGATGACCATTTCTTTTGAAGCGCCGATAGCACCTGTCACGTTCCCTACGAATGTCTCGTAGCTCCTGTGTTATCCAGGGAGCTGGGCGACGTTTAACCGTAAACTCACGCACTGGAACACACTGATCCACAATGTCTTTAATCAAATTGTTTAGCTGATCTAATCGCGAATCTATAGTCAGTCCAACATCACCATAATCAATATCGAGCTCCGGAAGCCTCAAGTTAGTCAAATCTGCTGCTGCTGCTGCTTCAAAATCAGCCTCTTTCCATGATCGACATTTGACTATTTTCCTTGTCGGTTTCTGATACTTATACTTTAGGCAAAAATAAATTAAGTCATGAGAAGACAAGAAGGGTTGACCCGACTGTCCCGATGAATCAAGAGTCGATAGGTGACTAACAGCACAAACATCAATCCAAGTATTCGCGTCAGCAGTGTGATTAGTCGGTTGCAGTGGAACAATATTCATTCCATTTCTTGTAAAGAAGTCTCGTAGTCTAACTGCCTTATCATTATTCACTAACAAGTCCGCATTAAAGTCACCAAGAACGCACGCAAACTTGTAATTAATCATTCTAGCCTCAAAGTCATCTTCAAACGTGCACATGTGTCCTGCTTTTGGCGGCCGATAAACTATAGCCACCAGAATCTTATGCTGAGATGGACCCCATACTTCTGCGTAGTATATAAAATCCCTTTTATGGGCGAATAAGAATCAATAATAAAAGAAATAGCTAAAGAAGAGCACTTTTCAATAATTGTAAAGATATTTAAAGTGAATATATGAGAATTTTATATTATGAAACAGACAATGAACATTATACTGCCAGTCTTGTTATGACCTCGACGAAATCATACATATTTATGAACTACGATGTTCTCCAAAAAAATGGAAATCGTAAATTTTTTTAAATCCCAGATATACGTGTTTAGAGCTTGCAGTAACGGATAGCCGTGATTATTTTTAATATGGATGATTACAATGATTCTGAAAAATTTTGTCGCATTGCTATCTCGGAAGTTTCTTTGTGTGCTTTCGTTTGCTCCATAATGTAACGCACCATGATATTGGCTTTTACTCCACTTCAATTAAATTCATTAACCATAGAATGCTGGTCACTCATCGAAAATAATGCCATCGACAACAGTAGTTGCTTTTTTAATCAGTTTAGTTCATCACTTTTGTTCAGCGAGATTAAATAGTGGTAGATAATACCGTAAGCTAGTCCTCCCAAGAACAGTACTGTAAGAAATGTTTCAAGCTATGAAAAACTGTTTCTAGTATTAAATCACGATCTCATATCAAGCGTAATATAGCGATAAATCATTGTGAAATACTTGTCTGCTGGGTAAATAATATAGAATAATCATGGCGTCGAGAATCAGGCGTATTGTTCTGTGTTACAGGCTGGTATATATTTTACTAACTTGTCCAATCCAAGGCTATGTTCATATCAAGTACTATGTATAACATATGCGTAGTTGAATTGGAGTAAATGTCTGACAATCAATAAAAATAAAAATAAAAAAAGTAATAATAATGAAAGTAAAATAGTTATAATAAATCAATTTATAAATCAAATGACAGTATTTTAGTTTTTGTTACGAGGAAAAAATCCAGTGGTAGTTTTTCGTGCCGATTTAGGTCGCCCTCTTAATATTTTTGGTTCAGGTAAAATTACGGTCTGTAAGTTAGAATTCAAATTTTTTGTGCAGTGACTTACTTCACGAGCTTGCTGACAACTTAACACTATTTTTTTTAATTCATCATCAACCTTGTTGAATTCGATCTCGGTTGCTTGCAAAGTATTTTTTAAAATTGAGGTAAAGTGTTGTTGTAAAATTCGTCGTCGTTCATTTTCAGATGTGATTTTGATATTTATTTCTTCAGTAATACCACCAACAGTAGTGATGTCATCAATAACTAACATCTCGTGTGTTTTAGGCAATTCAATTTCAGAAGTTTTCAATTGATCGCTAAAAATTGAATCAGCTAGAAAAACCTCGTGAAACTTTGCATCTAATTTTTTTACATTTTCAGCTTTCGACCATTTTGAATCGCACAATTCAGGACAGAAAAGATTGAGATTAAAATGTTTTCTTGTAGCTAAAATGTGTATACATGGTAGCTTCAGACTTGTACGAAAGTTGCATCGACAATCAGTTATTGAAGACATTAACTGGTACCCATTTACATCCATGCAACAAACGTTAGTCTCTTGACAGTACCTTGTAATAATTATACTGGAATATTTATTTAATTCTTCGTTTAATTTATTAAAAGCTACTTTAGTAAAAAAGTCAGCATAATCATTTACACATATACCTAGCTCGTGTTGTATATTTAATTTTTTCAGAGCATCCGTGGCCATTAATAAATGAGTTTCCTGTTTGGATGAACTCAATACCTGAAAAAAATTTTTCGCAAATTCACACAATGTGCTGTGATATTCGCACTCAGTTTTCATCTGTTTATTTGTGCTTTCAACAATATTATTTGTTTGATTTCCATAATTATAGGCAGCCGTAGCAAAGTTGACCCATTCATCTCGATTAGGATGCCAGTTACGATTAAAATAATTGCAAACACGTTCGGGCACGCTACGAATCAACTTTTCATAAATACGATCATAAATATCTTGTGATTTAGCATAGGCTAAATCACGGAGAAGCCTAAAACTTATCGATCGTTCTTCTTTAGTTAATTTTAAACTTTTCAGCTGCCGGTCAAATGTCTTCAGAGTATGAAATAAACATAGAAGAAATCGAGCCTTTGGAAAACTTTCCGCAAAAGCGGATCGTTCGGTTAAATCTTTGTCTGTCATTATAGATCTTGTATTAGTGCAAGCTTCTTCATTAAATTCTCTAAATGTTTTGGCGACCCATTTCATAACATCGGATGTTTCTGTAGCTAATAATGATACGCCAACAATTTCTCCTCTGCCACTTCCATTCTGGATCATTATTAGGTATAAGGTAAATCCCAAGTTGAAGAGTTTGTACGTACCATCGATGAATAACATATCAGGCCAATTCTTCATGGAATTTTGCATTGAAGCGTTAGTAAAAAATAAGGCTTGAAAGTGATTATCGTTCGTTGTTTTTATTTTGGTAGTACAACCTAAAACAAAAAATTTATTTCAGAAAAAAAGATATTTTTACGTTAAAAAATAAATAATTATGTTGAAATGGACTATTGTCCATTTGTAAAACTGTACCAGAAGTACAATTTTATAATGATGAAGCACAATAATGTGTGGCTAAAAAACTTAAGTTAACATTTGACAAAACTTTCAGCTATATTAGACTACTATAAATTTTTGAACGAATTGTTATAAAAAAATCAACCAATATTCGCTTTTAAACGCTAAAGTTTTAATTTCCGATATTGATAGATAATAAGAATTAGACTTAAAATTTAAATTCTAAATAATTCCCAACAAAAAAAAACCGTTTGATAGCCAAAGTAAATGTAGATAATCCTTAAAAGTTAATCTTCGAAATTTAAAGAATTCATGTCAATAAATATAACTAAACGCTAATTGTTATGATCCTGAAGTAAATAATGTAAAAAATTTTTTTAATATAAAAAAAAGTCTATTTTAAAAATCAAAAATGAATGCACCAGTAATTGATTGGCTATTGAAAGTAGATCAGTCGTATATAAAAATCATAATATTTTCTTTGAACGAAAAATTATATATACTCGAATTAATAATCAAACATTTTAGCTTTTCATAATAAAAATACTTACCATACTTTACATTCAAAAGATTTACAAATGTAGGAATATCGTTGCTGTTAGTAGGTCGTAAAGATTGTTTTATATTAGAAATATCTTTGGATGTAACAAGGATGTTATACCTAGTCGATAATTCACATCGTAAAGCTTTGTTACTACATCCCATCTTTAAATAGTCTTCAACCTTTTCACGAAGCTCAGGAGGTAACCTTCGATTTTCTGGAAACGCACAAGCTAGGTCCTAAAAAAAATATTAATCTTAAAAGATTTTTATTAAAAATTATTCATCTATATTATTAAGAGAATAAGCGAAATTTTGTGGCCACTGTATGGATGTGGAAAATTTCCATAAAAAAAAATTAAATTAATGTTTAAAAAAAAACCACGCTAATTAAGTAAATAAACAAAAAGTTTCGGTCTCGAAATTTATATGGAAAAAATATCAAGTTTTTTTTGGGGGGTTTAGATCTATGCATTAATCTCGGGTTGTGATTTTAATAGCTAAATTATAAATTAATTAATAATAACTTCTTTCTACAAATAGCTACGCGGTATATATGCGCTGACATAGATGTTGCTATATATGTATGTATCGAATTATATTTGATAATTTAATAAATAAAAAACTTACCGGAGAGTCTGATGGATGATTTTCATGGTTTAAATTCAATTCGACAATCTTTAATTTGTAATTTCCTGGTACAATGGCAATCCGTTTTAACGTAATAAAGACCGGACAGTAAACATTGAAAGTCCTAACGAATATAAAAAATAGCATTAAAGCATTTTAGAAATTGAATGTTTCATTTAAAATTATCTTACCTAGTGACACGTTTTATCACCTTTCTCGGTACTGGAGTTTTAGCTGGTGGACCAAGTTTACATTTTTGAGTAACAGAATTATACCTTAATTTATTAATAAGTTCTTGTTTTTCATAATCATTTATATTCAATCTTTTCAAGTTTTCGAGATGTAATGAGTTGGATCTTAAGGTGGTAAAAAAGAATCCATTTTCACGTCCGAATAACGTCAATCTTTCATGAAATTCATTCCATGAATCATATAATTTACCAACTTCAAATTCACAACTCTTTGCAGTTTCCATAACAATAATAAAAAAAAATTAATTAAATAACGTGTAAAGAAAAAATTTACAAACAGATTATAGTTTATAAGATGTTAACATAAAAGTAACGAGCCTCTAGACAACAGGAGCACTTATAGTATCGAACGACTCTCGGAGAACAGACAAAAGAAGAACAATTCTTTATGATTATTATTTTCAAGCACAGATATAAAGTAGTAAATAAAATCGATATATCCGTGATTTAATGCTTGCAGGAACAGATATCTGTGTCCGATACTTAAGGCAACAGATATCCGTGACCAAACCTTACAGTACCAGACGTATACATGATCAAGGCTTATAATAACGAATGTCGAGGGAGTGTATGACGTTAATGAAGGACGGTATAACAAATTAATAAATTAAATAGTTTTAAATGGTATATTATATTTACCAACTTCTTTATATTAACATGTAAAGTATAAATAATATTTACGTACTCAACTCTTACACATTAAGTGCATCTGCAGAGTACACAGCGATATTACTGTATTCGATGGCTTGCGCCACATTTTTGGGCACTAGTTATGGAACTAATACCCGCAAAAATCACGCATGATGCAACATTTTACGTCTTATTTGATGAAATCTAGAAGCGACCTACAAATCCACGATCCGTTCTGTAATGGAAACCGTTCAGAGCTGGTATCGAATATCGAATCATTAAACTAAAACAGATAAATAAACTCAATTAACATTGACAATCGTCGCTTAATTACATGTCCAGTCATTTAAATAAAAAATGGGAGTAACATGAAACTCACCGCCAACCAGACGCTGTTTGTGTTGCTAATAGAGTCTCTTCTGACACTTGAAGTCGGACCGACGCAAGATTCCTCCTTCATGCTCTGCTGGTGCTCCAAAACATTTATAATTTTTCTTTTCTCAGCATCACTCGCTGCTTTCTCCATCAAAAATTTATCTTTCAACGATTCAATCTCTCTTTTAAGCTCTTTTACCTCTTCACTGTGAGATTTTTTAAGATGTTTTATTTTCAGGATCAATTTACCAATTTTCCCAACAAGTTTTGTATTTTCTAATTTTGATTGCTCGCGCAGCTCCTCCATTTTCAACCTCTCCGACTCGGATCACTTAATCTGAGACTCCAACACGGCTATTCTAGACTTAAGATTAATGTTCTCTTTGGCGTGTGATCGATCAGCCGCGACCATATTGTCCAACTTTGTTTGCAATTCATCAATGGTGTCTGACAGAATTTTCTCTTGTTTCATAAAGCTGTTTATTTTATACGTCAGATCCGCATGGAGCTGTTCAAGCTGTTGAACCAGAGATTTTTTTGACAAGTGACACCGAGTCTGAAAGCTTTTCGCTTCTGGCCTCTGCAGTCTCCGGAGGTTTCAACAGGTTGTTGTTCTCCTGTTTCAATCCTTCTACTTTCTCAACGTGGCTTTCTTTCTCTTGACGCAATTTGACTTTCAAATCTTGAACCTAAGCCGGCAACCGACACGACTCTCCAGCGCTATCGAATACTTGCTTCAGTTCTTCTTCAGCAGCACTGAAATTCAATTTATTTTTCGCCAATTCAACTTTAGCCACGTCGAGACTCGTTTTGTAGGCATTCATTTTATGCGTCGTGTTATCCAACTTCTCTTGCAACCACAAAATTTCTTTCTCCTGTTTCTTATGAGGGTGTGAACTGCCTCTATTCGATTTCTTTCCACCTCCTCCTTGGCATTAAGCAACCTTTTTAACCGATCTAATTCCGAACTCTGCTCTTCCAGCTGCTCTTCAAACTCGCTTCTGTTTCCTTGTCTTTGGCTAGCAATTTTGTAATAATATTGGAGTGCTATTAGCTCAACTTTTCGCCCTCTTCTCTCAGCTGTTTGATTATCTCACCTTTTTCCGCGTTGAGTGATGAAGACAAGTCTGATAATTCCTTTTTCAGATTCTCGACCTCGTCTTTGAGCAAATCGCACTCTCTGATTGCCTGCTGGAATTTTTTCTCCAACACTAACATACGTTGCGTGTAATCGTCGGCTATTGAATTAACGTCCGGATTCTGATTAGTAAATCAATATTCATTCGACTCATGTCAATTAACTTGGGCTCCCGTACTTCCAGTATCTCTACTGATTCTTGAAACCGTTTTCTTAATTTGTCTATCTCATTGATACCATCATCAGATCCAATACTTATTTCATTGAGTTGACGACTGTGATCTAAGGTTTTCAATGTTTTTGTTAAAAGATCTCCACTTTTACAGGAATGGAGATTCACTGGAGACTCGCCGCGATTGCGTTGAACTCGGCTCGCTATTTGGACTGAAATAAAGTTAAATTATTATTTAAATAACTAACTATGGCACTTTTTAAATACTTTAAAGCAGATTATTTGAAATAAATTTCTAATTCAATTTAATCATTAAAAGCGTATGGTAATGCATCTGATACTTGGTCTTAGTTTGCGAGATCGATTTTATACTGGCAAAATAATTATATCTTTATACTGATTGAAAAACTAGTTATCAGTCTCGGTGTGCACGTTCTTTATTTACATCTGACTAATTGTTTTATTGATTATATTTAGACATATCAAATTAGGTTATCTACTTACTTAACATTATTATTCATTATTAATTTAAAAAAATCCAAAAAGCATTTGATTCTTCCCCAGCAAGTGTTAATCATCACATTTAATTCTAAGTACTAATGATTGCAGTTATGTTTATTTACATAGAATCGTTTCTACCAACTTCATAATTTTAAATTACTTCAAAAAAACAAATAAATGATCAATAGATATCAAAAAATATAAATAAACTAAAATTTATGAAAATCTAATTCTTTCCCATGTTTTGCAATGCTGATGAATCATCGTGAATGTTTACAGTGTATTTGTTCATAATAACTTTACTGGTATATTATTATAAATTTTAACTTTGTAGGTGTTCATTATAAAATTATCCGTGACTGTAACTTTAACGCACGGGCATATGGTTAGAGGCACGGAAAATCTGCTGAGGCAATGCTGTGTTGTCCGTGTCTCCATTACATTACAGTCACGGATAAAATTCCTTTGAATGTCCCTTTTATGCAATTACAGCCACGGATATTTCTAGGGATATCATTGCAGTCACGGAAATTTTCACGCTGGGGAGAAAATATATCCGTGTCTGTAATTAGAGGCACGGATAAAAGAATCGCTCCAAATTGTCCATTTTTCTCAATTTACAGGCACGGATATTATCCGTGACTGGTGTCAATAGCAGCACCGTTCAATAATATTAAAAGTTATGTATATTTAAGTTATATTTAAATTTTAAAACAACGAAACTTATTAATGTATCTTATTAAACTCTAATGATTGAACAAAAAATTATGTCCTGAAATCTGCCACACGTTATTAAAAAACTTACACATGTCTTTTTGAATTTTTAATCAATTACTGATAGTTCGTTGGTTTTATGAAATACAAATATTAATTAATGAAATGAATTTTCAAGCACATACTAAATATTAATTATAATTAGAGTTTGATAAAATCATACGTTGGTTATCATGATTGATGAGTGTATACATTTATAAGTACAGATAATTGTTACAATTTAACTGGATTATAGTTTATTTCAAAAGAAATCATTAAATATATGTGTTTGATAAAATAAATAATTAAATCAAAAATTATTAAAATTCTAAGATGTAATATAATCACAGCAAATAATACAGACACAATGCTTAATGAGAACGTATAATTTTATGTTTACTTGTCAATAGAGTTCTTGCAAATCTATTAGCTTGGTATAATTTTTTGAACTTTTTAAATTTTTTTCGCAAATTAATGCTTATTTATAAAATTATTTGTAAAGTAATACACAAATTTGAATAGAACTCAAATTCTATAGATTAAAAAAACTTTTTCTGAGAATGTCCTGATAGCTGTCATAGTTCACAATTTCTCTAAATATTGATAACTTACGAGGCTTTAAAATCGAATCTACGAAACGAAAATCAAATTTAGTTCTCTAATAAATTATTTAGCAGTTTTATTAGATTATACTAATCTAGTATTTTTTCAAACTTTATTGGTACTGTTACAGAGAGAGTCCCGAAATCTACCACAAATTATTTTTTAATCCTGGACATATCTGATTGTGCAATATAAAATTTGTTTTATTAAGACAGTAATTAATCAATTTTGAGTTCGGTGTTCTATAATTAATTTATTCGTAAAGAGTTTTATTTCGAATTATTATTCTATGAAATGTAACTATTGCAAATATTTTATAAGTACATGTGACGTTAGTAACTTCTCAATGTGAAATTATTAGATAGTTATTGGTTAACTATAATTCGGTAATTGTCTTAAAATTGGTAATAAATAATGATAATGAATTTGAAAAGAACATTTTCCATACGTTATCAAAATTAAAAATTATTTATTAAAATATGTCCTGGGATCTACCGTTACATATTCAAATTTTTGTGTTTGGTTATGTTTACATAACATGAAAAGTTACAAACGTGATTCTGTAATAATAAGTATTAATTTTTACTTGAAGTAAAAATTTTTAATCAGTTTCTCAGTTTAACTAAAAAATATTGTTACTTTCATTCTATTCGCTTGTAGAAACGTACTGTAAGAAACAGTACAAAAATGTTGATTCAAAATGTCCTGAAATCTACCATAAACCTATGATACAATTTTATTTTCTTAATCTGAAGGTAATAAATTAATATCGTAATAGTGGTTCAATAATTCATCGTAAGCAACGATAAATCATGACTTCTGATTTATTCTATCTATTCGTGTTACTCAGAGCATTACATATATGGGTGATTCTCTGTAAGTATGTCTTAAATCTGTACAAAATTGTCCGACCAAATTATTTTTGATTTTATTAGAAAAAAAATTAACAAGGGCTACAAAACTATCAGCTTAATTATAATAAATAAACAGCCGAATTAATTTTTGATTTTTCGATATTTGTGTATCTTTTGCCATATAACATGACAGGGGACTGACTGCCTTTTATCAAATTGAGAAAAATCAAGCAAACTATTTCAATGCATTCAACTTTTTAAGTTCTCAATGAATGTTTACATTAATTAGAATAATATTAAGACTTATGGATCCAATTTTATAAACAAATTATGAACAAAAATAGCTGCCAGGTGACTGAGTTTTAAAATGGCCCAGAAACATATTTCCAGCACAAACAGTGATTTGACACTAAATAAAATGTCGATAAAGCGCTAACAGCCCTATGGTTATTAACTTAAGACTAGTTAGATCCTTATAAACTTTACAAAAGGTAAAATAACACGCTAGATTTTTTTTTTTTCGGCTTTGAACTTCTGACAGGGGACTGATCTAAAATGCCTGGGACAAGCTTTGATTTAATGAATTTAATGAAAGAAATTAACTTTCGGTACTTTTTATTGAAGAAGATTGTTAGTTAACTAATTAAGTTTATAAACATTATGGACCAAATTATTTATTATTGATGAATAACTTAAAATTTAATCCTAAAGTTTTAATTTTGGGACTGGGACAGCCCAGGAGACTGACATTTCGGTGGTTTACGAATTTATAGCAAAAAAACTAAAATTTATTCCATTTTAGTTTTCAATGCTCCAAATAGAAATGTTTTTTTACTTTCGTAATAAATTTTTTTTCGTAAAATAATAACAATTTTTCTAATAAAAAAATGCCTGAGACAGCAAAAAACATCCTTACAGAGAATCACCCATATGATTGTTGTTATTTGTCTTTAAGCTATTTTTGATCTTACAAGTTGCTTTTGTCATTATTAGGAAGAATAAAATATTAAAATTTTAATTACAGAAAAAAACAATATTTTAATATCAGTCAGAAAAAATGTGGAAAATTCAAGAGAACATGACTTTTATATAATGCTCATTTGATTTTTAGGAGAAAAAAAATCTAAAAAGAGAACCTTGCAGACCACCTCTAGAACTTCACTCAAAGAAATTTATCTATTGCACACTAAAAGAAAAATATATTAAATAATTTAATAGAAAAAATTAAAATTTACGATGAACTGCCTCTAATGATTAATATTGTGAGCTTAAATTTTCACAGTTGTTCTTTTTCGTCACCTAGAACAATATTTCCATTGTACTGAATGTAAAAAAAATCAGTTTTCTTTTTTGGCCTACCCTAATACATAAAAAACCTATAGATTTTAATTTCATATAAATTATTAAGAAATAATACTGAATTATAAAATAATATTTAATCCGAGACCGCATGTTGTAGTTTTAAAGCTTGAAAAAAATAATCCCGATTCTTAAATTATTTTGTTTGTTGTAATTAGAAAAACTTTTTTTTATTAAAGGTTCTAAGAAATTAAATTTTCTATCGAAACTATTTCATATTATTGTTTCTTAGGACCAATATTCTTGCCGTTATTGTAAAATTAATATACACAGCAATCAAAAGTTTAAAATAATTGAAAAATTTTTATTCTGTTATTACTGTGAGAATATTGACTTTATAAAATGATTTTCAAACAAATGTTATGATGAATTTAATTTTTTATTTAAAATATCGAGCAAAATTTTTTATTTTTTTCAATATTTTTGTCTTTATTCCAAAATTTAGGTTCCAAATTATGGAAAACTTAAATCAATCATTATAAAAATCCTATCTCGTGGAAAAATATTCTGATCAGGCTTGATATGAGCTAATAAAGCCATATAAAAATTTTTGATAACTTCATATCTGGCTTGATATGATCTGATATGTCGATATTTAATATCTGATATGTCCTGATATGGCCTGATATGAAAATTGGCCATCTCAGGCCTGATCAAGCCTTATCAATTTGATATGTCTATATCAGACTTGATATAGCTTGATATGCTCATATAATTACAATTATTATTTTCGATAGTAATCGTTAGCATTATTAATAGTAACTATTACAATTGTCAATGATACCACCTATTATTTTGTTATTAATTAATTTTATTACCATTTTAGATAGAAGGAGTTATTATTTTTGTATAGTAGGTAGTACTATAGTGTATAATTAATTTTTCTCCGTGTATTTTTTGAATTTTCAAATCGCAATAACTTTTGAATCAACCAACCGATTTTCACTCGGTTGTCGGCATTCGACGCAGTTTTTTGGTCTCATAAAAATTCGTTAAGTTTGAATTGATCTAACTGAAAATTTCAGAGTAATTAAAAAAAAACACTTCTTGGTTTTCTGTCGTTCACGATATCTCTTGAACTAATTGACCGATTTTGACTGGCTTGACGGCAATCAACGTGATTTTTTTTATGTTAAAGGCAAATGAGTTTTTGAAATTGATCAGTAGAGCCGTTTAAAATTTATTCCAAAAAATGTCGGAGTTATGTTAAAAGAAAATTTGTTTCCAAATATTTTATTTCGTCGATATCTCTCGAACAAATCAACCGATTTTCACGTTCTTGGCGGCGATCGACGCAAATTTTTAAGCTCTCATAGTTATTCTATCTCATTAAAAACGATCCGAAAATAAATGTCAAAGTAATCTAAAAAAATTAGAAAAATGGTTCACCCTGAAGGCCATCCCTGCAACTTCCCGCTAATTCCTTTCCTGGGCGCTTAAA